AGAGAGAGAGAGAGAGAGAGAGAGAGAGAGAGAGAGAGAAGAGAGAGAAAGAGAGAGAGAGAGAGAGAGAGAGAGAGAGAGAGAGAGAGAGAGAGAGAGAGAGAGAGAGAGAGAGAGAGAGAGAGAGAGAGAGAGAGAGAGAGAGAGAGAGAGAGAGAGAGAGAGAGAGAGAGAGAGAGAGAGAGAGAGAGAGAGAGAGAGAGAGAGAGAGAGAGAGAGAGATTGGTTGATAAGCAAAATGAAAAAATGGAAACTGCGTTTCTTGTTGACAAAGCATTGAGGAAAACGCATCATGCCACGTGACAGACAAACGAAAGTTAAAGCAAACTTAAAAATAATGCTAAAAATAAAGAAGAGGAAGAACAAAAGAAAAGATGAGGAGGAATAAAGAGGAGGAGGAGGAAGAAGTCAAGACGAAAGAGGACACACCGTAACACACCGATAAGAAAGTGCTGGAGACACAAGATTCCCACGACGCGCAGGGACGCGTTGGGGGACTCCGCCTCTAATCTAGCGTGACTCTTGCCTGGCTTTTTCTTTTCTGTTTATCTATTCATTTATTTTTAGCGTTGCTGCTCTTTCAGTATCTGTTCTGTCTGTTTCTGCCTTTGTCGGTTTTTCTTTCTTTATATCTGTCTGTATTTTTCGCTTCTCCCCCATCTCTCTTTCTCTCTCTCTCTCTCACCTTTTTGTCTGTCTTTCCCTTCCTCTGTTTCTGCCCCCACCCACCCCACCCCACCCCTCACCCGCCGGCAACCCTTCCTCCCCCACCGGCTGCAAACCAGGTGTTCGAATGAACGAGTAGATAGGATGGAGATGTATGTTCCTCCCTTGATAGACTTGCCTCCGAGGGTGCTGTGGGCGGGCGGAATAGATCAATCAATTGCAATCGACGGTGCAAAGGCAACAGGAACCCCGCTGAGAGGTTACGAAGGGAGTGAAATACGTTATGAGCCGTGGCGTAAAAAACTGAAAAGGGTAAATACACAGACGGACACGGACTCCTGTGTAACCAAACGTGTCCGCATATTGAAAAAGAAACACGTATGCTTAATAGATAATGAAAACACACACACACACACACACACACACACACACACACACACACACACACACACACACACACACACACGCTGCTCCTCCATATTCATATGTACGCTGTAAGAAACTACATTCAAATCCAAACGTGTGTGTGTGAAAAAGCTATTAGTTTGAGATCGTTTGCGAAGCAATATTTTCACCTGGGTCTTTACGCAGCACATTCCTCATCTTTGTGAGTGCCCTCAACTCACTCTCTCTCTCTCTCTGTCTGTCTATGTCTGACTGACTCTCCCCCTCTCTTGTGTCTCTCTCCCTCCCTGCCTCTTTGTCTCTGTCTTTCTGTCAATCTCTCCTCTGTATGTCTGGCTGTCTCTTTCTGTCTGTCTCTCTCCTTCTCTATTATATTCTCTCTTTCTGATGTCATACAATCGGTGCCATATCTAAAATACGGATTCTATGTGCAAGGTTAAACAGCTCCTGTTTTAAACACAAACACACACACACACACACATGCGCGCACGCTCATGCCAACACACACGCACACACACACATACAGTGAACTTTATATGCCCTTTAGTGACTTTCGTGTGGTCTTTGCCTTATGTGTATCGAGAAAAACATGAGATTGCACTCTAGCCTAATGTTGGTGAATTTAACTTCAAATGAATTTATGCCTTGCCTATTTTGGCTCTTATTCACAGGGACGTTGCTATTCTCAGCGTTTTCACTTTATTATGCAACTTCAGCTTATTCGGAAATCATGTTTTATCTTCTTATATGATAAGAGGAATACTCGCTTATTCCTATCTTACTATATTCTGATATATGTAACGAGTTTGCACGTGTACCTCCCCTCAAATGTGTAAAGCCGCAACTGATCAGCTTTTTAGGCGTGCGCATTTGTCTATGAATAACAAGAAAATTAGCAATTTCAGTTATATATATATATATATATATATATATATAATATATATATATATATATATATATATATAAAACAGATTTTAAAATTAATAAGTACATGAATTCAGGTCTTGAAATATTAACCATTCGTTCTGAAGAGGGCTTCAATAAAAAAAGAGGCGAAAATATATATATGTACACACACACACACACACACATACACACACACACACACACACACACACACACACACACATATATATATATATATATATATATGTATACACACACATTGTTGTTCGTCCGTCGATTTGACGAGGACCATCTAGTCATCCTGGCGTTGGGGTAGTTGGGCACGGTGGGTTCACAGATGACTGGTCAGGTCAATCCGCGTCCGGAAAGTCCGTGGGCAGTGTGGGCAGGGTATGGTGGCAGGTGGCACCAGGTTGTTGGCACTGTTTTTCCTGGCCTGCCTGCGTTGCTCAGCAGCAGCTGTCCTGTTGGCTTCATGTGTTTTGGCGCCTTTGTGTACAGCTGACCGCTATACTCCTCTGTC